GAGCTTTAATCCGTAATCACAAGGGATGCCTTGTAGAGAGCAGCATGGAGGGCGAGACTGGGAGGGATACCTGGCACTCGGGGCATCTCCTGTTTCTTTCCCTGGGCGTGAGCCTCTTGTGTGGCACTCATACCACCTGTAACATGGAATATTCCACGGAAAGAAAAATCCACGGCCACAAAGAACACATACTCAGAAGATTCCGGCTGGTCCTGGTTCCATTTATACCCCACTGTCCAACAATCTTAGGCTCTGCTCAAAAGCGCACCTGCTTTCGCGGGGCGAGCAGGACCACAGGGAGGTGGTCTGCATGGCTGTGCCCTCTTTCATTTCAGCACAGGCCACTTGACTGGAAAACGCAAAGTAGCAAGCAGGACCAGAGCCCAACAGAGAGGCCATTTCCCGAGTCCCAGGCTGACCCGTTCCCTTGGTGTCAGCCCGTCTCTGGCTGCAGCCCAGTAACCACAGCAGAACTTGGAGAAACCGACCCTGCGTGTTGCCTGGATTGCAACCAACCTACAAGCCCTGGGATTCTGCATCAGTTACTCCCACTACCTTACCTGGAAAACGAGTTGGGCTCTTTGCAGACTAACAGCAGACGCTTCTCAAGTGCAGGCAGCCATGACTCCCAGCTTACTCTGCAGCAACGCTTTCTGGGAAGGACCAGAACTCTCCAGGATCCACAGTTTTCAAGCATCTAAAAGCATGCACCTGCTTCCTTATTAATTCCAAGTCGGCTCAGGGAAAGCTCAGTTCAGCTGTGTAACATCACTCCTCTTTAAGGGCCGCTTCAGACCCCTTCACAAAGCTCAACTGCTGTTCAGTTCCATTGACTTTAGGTCAGATCCTGTCATGCGTGAAGTCGGAAGAGTCTTGGGCAGTTGGAATATTGTCAGTCTTTGGATCTATGCCACTTCTAGAACTTGCGAATGTCCCACCAGGCAAATCCTGGGGTGTCTCTGTCCTGTCAGTTAGAAGCTGTTCTGAGGGCAGGGAAACTAGGACTCCTGTAGGGCATGGGCTTTAACTCCCTCCTACCTGGAAGGGCACCATACCTGCCAACACGAGTGTTCAACAGTTTAGACTTAGAACATAACCATAAAGCATCAGCCCTCCAAGCGGTCTCTGAGCCAGGCTCTGCTTCTGGGACTTGAGATTGGGGAGGCCGTCTAGGGCAGTGGTCTTCAGACTGTAAGGAACATGGGAATCACTGGAGATCTTGCTAGGGTTTGGATTCTGATTCTGTAGGTCCGGGGTGGGAGCTGAGACTTGCATTTCTAACAGGACCCCACATGATGCCAGTGCTGCTGGTTCACGAACCTCACTTGGAGGAACAGAGACTGAGCGTGCTGCTTACGGGCATACTTGTCAGGGAGACTCCCCAGTTTAACTGCTGTGGGACCTTGAACAAGTCCTCTCCCCTCCAGAGTTGAGTCTATGACTAATCCCCATTCCTAATAAGCGAGTTTGAGTTTGTAAAGCCCTCATTTACATAGTAAATCAGGGTTTAGCTCTACAAGCTCAGATGTGGGGCACTTCCGTGGTGTTCTCTACCCCAGGTAAGTGACCCCCAGTCTCATTGGTGGGCTATTACTTTTCTCCAAGTGTCGGCCTCAGGTCCACCCTGAAACTTGATAAAAAGGGCCCCAAATCAGACCTCGTAAATGAGAAACCCTGGGTGGGGAGTTGCGTGCAGTTTTACCAAGCCCTCAGGTGCTGCTAATGCACCATCAAGGGGGTGGGGGGCACTGTCTTTGCCAGAGATGGATAAAGAGTTGAGCAGAACCACTGCAGAAAAGCAAATATCCGAAACTGAGGAAACGGCTAAATTATGGGGTTTTTACTTGAAATAATAATTGTTTCAAGAATATGTGTGTGTGTGTGTGTGTGTGTGTGTATATAGC